TATATATATAATATATATATTAAGTTAAATCATATTTTATTATTCATCTTAGAATTTACGTTTTAAAATAATTTAAATATTAAATTATTTTTAAAATTATTTTTTTTTACTTTTTGTTTATTTACTTTATTTAATAAATTGTATTATTTTGACACTAAGAAATATTAAATATCAATTTGAACTATTTAAATAACATAATCACATTATGTTAAACTAATCGAGTATGTTAAAAATTCAACACAAAATGTTAACAAGAACTTTGGAACTTGGAAAGTGGATCGTTTTCAGCACAAATACAAAATATTTTTTTACTGTGCAGAAATGGATTGATTTACCCAGACAGATTTTGACATACAGAAATTAAAAATAACAAAATGTTATTTAATTCAAAGAATTGGGTTGCTCCTTTAATATTTAATAATATATGATCATGTCTAAGCTGATATCGAGGAAAAACGTACAAAATGATATTCATGCACGATAATATAAGAGGAAGACGAGAACATCGAAGACAAGCGGTGTATTCGCCGGGATGCGGAGGATGCTACTTGAATAGGAACCGGAACTCGCGATTCGTGCTCGGAATCGGCTACGCGATCGCATCGTGTACGGGTCGCGCATATGAATCAAATAAGAGCCAGTCGAGAGGATTTCCTATCGGAGGAGGAAGGCAGAAAGAGAGAGGCTGTTGGAGTTAGCCATTGATTTCTTCGACATATGTGCAAAAATAAATCTATCCTGTATACGAAGGGAATGCACCACGGATGATGAACGGAATCGCGAAACCGCAGGAATGAATCGAAAACCGCGCGACGAGATTGCCGCTCTTATGATCCATGAAAAGTCGATCACGACTATCAGAATCGCGAAATTAATGACAGATCGTTTTCTCTTCCGCAGAGAGGGTGGAAAAGATGACTATATTGAAACTTCCCGACAAGTTACGTATGATACGAACTTAACCCTTCGTAGACACATTTTTTTTCATTTTTAATGGCTCAGACGAAATTTCATACTCAAATTTCTTGGCACAAATTTCAATTTTTATTAAATAAAGATTTTAACACATTTGAGTTAAATAACTATTTGGCAACGTAACAAAGATGTTGAAAAGTAATTCTGAATTTTAGATTTTTTTCAAAGCCTGGAAGAGTAAAAAAAAATTTGAGCTCGATAAAAGAGACAAAATGCCAAGGAAATGCCAAGTAAAAGTATGTAAGTCTATGAAGAATTAAGAACATCAATAACATCTATTCTTATTAATGTAAATTAACTTTAATTTCGATTTAATTTACTCATCTTTTTTTAATTCTTAGAATTATAAAAAATCGAAGAGTTAATTGAACAGAGATCAAAATTAAACTACATCGGTACAAATGAGTATTAGAAAAAAAGAAAGAATAAGTTAATTCGATATTAAAGTTAATCTATATTGATAAAAATGAGTTTGAATGATCAGAGAATAAATTCCAATTATTTCAATTAAATTAACAATAAGAAATAATTTGTACTAAATAATACTAATAAGAGAGATTGGATATTAATAAATGCAAATAATAAATTACACGCCTTTAATATATAATAAAGATTGTAAAAAGACAAAAAATAGATTATATTATGTACATAATGTATATATTTAAATTTAAATATTATATTAATGTTCAATTTATATACTTTATTAAAATTAATTAACATAGCATATTTAAGTAGTACATTTAAATTTTAAAAAAGTCAAAAATATAATAATATATATTTTTGCTAAAAGAAGTAAATTAACCTTTTAAAAAATCGGCAATTTAAATATAATAAGAATATTTAGATTTAAAAATAAATTTGAAAAATTATTGGACATCACAATATTTTTATCCTAATATCTAAAGCTTTATTTTTAGATTATATGAAACTTAGTAATTTCGAACAAATCGAATCTTATCGATTTCTTTTAATCACTATCAAATTATCATTTATCTGAAATTTCTTAAAAGGCGATAGAGAAACTCACCTTTCTGACATGTTTCCAATGATCAAATAACTACGAATACCACATACATTTTTTTCATATTGAGTATAGATAATATTATAAAAGGGTTGGAGACATGTATTGAAGTACTTTTGTTTAAAAAATAGTATTAATAAAATAATTGTATTTTATATTTCAACAAAACACAAATATTTTATATTTTATGGGAGCATATAAAAGTATTTTGTATTTTATATTTTAGTATTAAAAAAACGAAAGATTAAAAATACTTTGTATTTTCTATTTTAAATACTAAGATAGACAATCAATCTTGAATCACAAAATATAGAAAATCGATTTTTTAATTTTAATACAAAATACTTTAATGTGCTCCATTGAAATACAAAATACACTTATATTGCAAATACTGTGTTTTAAATAAAGGTATATCAAATATGATCCAGATCCAGATATTTTTCAGTTCGTGCTAAATATTTCATTTATCGTCCTATCCGTTTGGTACGAGACTTCAGAAAAAAAATCATCGATTCACACATCGACGTTCAGCACACATATTATACATTTAATATAAACTTTTTATCGCATTAAACAGATGTCACCGAAGCAACAAAATGGCAAATGGATGGACTCGGGAGAATTAACTGCCCTCTACGCATTTCTCGAAAGGGAAAGAGAGCAAGAAATATGCTTCTTACCAGGCAACGACAGGTCCGTAATTTTCTTTGACCCTGCTAACCTTGAATCGAGCGCGACGACACGTCGCATAAATGCCGTCGCGTAAACACAAAAAAGGGAGAATGTTCATAAACAAGAGACGGCAATAAATATCTTACATCTAGATGCGCAATTAAAAAATATTTCCGAATATTTCATTAAAATTTAACGGTGTAACCGATCGAGATTAAAGATTCTCGACAAAAATCTCGATATTATTCAATAATTTATTCAATATGTGCGTGTTAATTTATCATAAATTTCCATTTTAATAATCAATGGAAATAGGCTCCTGTTAAAATATTTTAATATTCTATCGTCACGATGATTCCTATTTCGCGGAAAGTCTTGAGAAATACGCAGTATTTCCGGAAAATTCTTAGAAAACCCGGAAGAGTCCTTGCGTGTGTTTCGATTCGCGTACGAATGGCAAAAGCCGCTTATGGCATCGGTGGCGGGAGGGAGGAAAACAGTTTCAAAAGGGGAGAAAATGTGTTTTTTCCAGAAGCAATCCGGATGAACCGATACTGAGTATTTCAAGTCGAAGACGCGTGTTCGAGACTTTCACCGAGATTTTCCATGTGATCGTGATCCGGGAAATCAGCCCTCGCGAAGCCGGCTGATTTCCCTCCGGGCCGGCCAGACGCGTTCGCAATTTTGCGAAGTCCTAAGTCTGCGCGGCCAAAGTAATGGAAATCCCGACGATGGGCGCATTCGCGAACACGACGCGATTACTCACTAGCACTCACCGTACGCGGCGTAGTATCCTCGTCAGATCCGCAAGAAGGCACAGGCCGTAACGTCAGGATCACTCCGCAATCAACGGACACTTCACTCGCCGAGACGCCGGGTCACTGCGTTTCCGACTTGGTCGGTTCGACTGCGCTTGTGCGTCTCCCCCGGTAGGTTAAGTTGAAGTGCGCCGACACTCGTCAGACTGGTGGCGCCATCCGACGCCGTCGGGGCGAACGACGATGGACGATCGCGCAGGCGGAAAGTTCAAAACGCTACAACGCCGGCAACCGAAACGCATATCACCGACGAGATACTATTAAGATTTAAACACAATAGGTACAGGGAATATCGAGCCATCCAATCAGAGCTCTGGGATATAATATCGAATTTTCATATCAGAACTCTGATTGGACAGCTCGTTATTTCCTGGTGCTTATTGCCTATACTTATTGTGTTTAAGCCTTTAAAGATTGTCAACCCTGGACAAATTTTCGGCGGTATAAAAAGAGCCTCAAGGATCTGAAAATAATTGAAAAACGCTGATATTATCGACAATGGATGCAAATTTATTATTATTAACATAAATATTTGACTCATACATTATTAAATTCATGATTTTTTATTACCTAAATGTTCTATAAGTAAATATGCATACTTGTAAAGTTATAATATTCTATATATTGCAAAAAAATTATAATTTTTTTCTCTGCGATCATCTCTGTTGATAATCAAACTTTGACGATAATATTGAAAATCACGATTTTAAAGAAAAATCGAATATTATTGAGTTATAGATGTATCATTATATCTACTAAATTAATAAGTAATAAAATTAGTACAATATTATTGGTTAAAAACTGATTTTAACTTTTAATCATTTTAATATTCACAAGGATGCAAACTCCTGTAAGAATGTTGGTCTTTAATAATCTCGTCGGTGCGCGTATTATTTAATTCACTCTAAAGATCGGGCGCTTTTTTTTAATGTGATCGACACTAGAGGTCTACATAACAGAAATGCGACATAGAAGAATATGGTCTAATTGGTTGTCTGAACCACGTGATCAGAGCACCATTTTAATTCACTTGCATCTAATGCATCAAGATATAGTTTTGTAATGTACATACATATAGATTATATAGAGAAAAATTAAAACAATATAAAATGTCGAAGTGCAATAAAAAAACTAATATTATGGTGTAAATATTGTTATTTGTGTGAATATTTAGTATCGAACTTAATCTAATCTAATCTTTTCTTGAAAGCTGTGTTGATTTTGTGACTCTTTAAAGAACTTTTTTGTGAAAGAAAGTGCTGTGTATTTGACTGTAAAAATGTATACAAAAAAAGGGAAATATCAAAAAGAAGAAAATTCATTTCTTTTGTTTCGTCATTTCCCAATAAATTCTGAAATAAGAAATGTGTGGATCACTAATGTGAGGCAAATAAATGGATATTCTTGGCAGCCTACTGTCATCAGCTTATTATAAGGTTAGGAGTACTTGTACTGAAATAAAATGACGGTGGCTATCTAACCCAATCAACACAATGTTGCATCTCTGTTATCTAGGCCTCTAATAGACACGAATCTAGAGATTTTTTTATTGCTGCACTTTCTGAAGTACACACAATGCAATAAGTTGAAGTAAATATACATTTGTTTTACTTTTATTATTGCACGGTTCAGAGTGCAGCATAAAAAAACAGATCTTTGGACTGATTGTGTATCTATAAAAGGTGAAAAATGATAAAAATGGGAAATTTTCTAAATATTGACAATAAAGTTGTCTATGTTCAACAGATAAAGCAGTGTTGATTTACAATTGCTGTAAAATTCTTCAATATGAATTATTATAGTATTCTTACTTATTTTGGATCTAAATGTATAAACCAATCATACTGAAGAATTTTACAACAGTTGTTGCTATACTTTCTGTGCTGAAAGCAACTATTATGAATAAATTTACTCATTTTTATAATTTTTACCTTGTTTCAAGATACACATCGATTCCAAGAATTGAATGATAAACTCCCTAGGATCTCAATATTATTATAATCTTCAAATTAAATTACATAGCAACGTGTCGATATCGTTACACTGTCATTGTGTAGATATTATATGGTAAAAAAAAGCTGCACAATAATAAGATATAACAATACCAAACTATTGTTAGAAGTTACAGAATCGGAGTACACTTTGGCGAAAATAAAAATTGGAGCGCAATAAATATTTTGTTAGTACTATTCAAATCAATATTTAATAAAATTCAGTAAATTTGTTTTCAATGCAAGAGTGTAAAGAATTCGCTACTAATGTATTTATACTCAACTCCACAATCACTCGATATTTTTTTGAATTATCATATTCCCGCTGATGATAGAAAAGCCCATTCTCAGTCAAAAATGATAATGGAATCGACATCGATTTATTATCATTTCTGAGGGTTATCGTATACTACCTACATCATCGAAATCTGTAGTCACCGAAATGATATTGATCTCATGATGCGATCATTAAAAAATGACACTGAACGCGAGGTTACGCGATGACCGATACGTTCTAGCAATCGTTCGTCACTATAATCGACACTCCCGACGTTATTTGTAAATTATTAGTCACCGTACACTGATAATAAGTAAAATTCGCAGTTAATCGAGGATCGATCGTGCTACGTATTTTTGTATTTTCCGTTATGAATGAAAACTGTCATTTTGGCGGGGCGGGCGGGAACGCGTGACGTTGTAAGCAGCGCGTGACGTTGTAGGACATTTCCAAAATTGTAGCAAATCAAAATGTAAACTATTACGGCACGTAACCAAAAATTGAATGCTTTTTATGAATTCTTTAGCAAGTAGGATAATCAACGTTTCGACAATCAGGATGTTTCGCTTGACATTTCTTTAAGAGAATTTGAACAAATTAGGAAAAATTTATGTAGATATAAACTGGACTTCTTGATTTAATTTAAAATCGACGCGCACGCTTGCCAAAATATTTCTGGTGCGAATATAAGCGGAATAATGGGAAATTTGCGTAAAATGATAAAAAATATTCCAGATGGCAAGTTATTTAAATTATCCGCAATATATCGAAGAAAGCGACTTCTTCTTTTGTCAATTTTTATGATTCCCAACGATTACAAGCAATTTGATAACAATAGTTATAGATAACAATAGTTATAGATAACTCAAGTAACAAATTCCTCTTACAAATAGATTATGAACATTTTTATGGCAACTGAAAGGAAACTTGTTCCAAGCAACTATTTTCTTTCTTATAAGAAGCTATTAGCTATTTATCTGCACAGAAAAAAACAGCTGAAAACTTAACTGATTCAGCAAATCTACAGTCAATTTTCTATATTAAAAGTTAGTATAGCAAAGTTGACAATGGAATAACATTAGCGATTTATTAAACCATCAAATCTTCTTAGTTGAATTCTATAATAAATTATAGGTTTGCTACCACCCAATTAATTTTTTTTCTGTGGAATATTTCTGTTATATATTATATATAGTATATTCACTGTGAAAAAAATCTGATTTGAAAGTATTTATTAAAATTCTGAAAATAAACAAATAAAAATTTTCTGATCTAATATAAATGAATCTATTATCATTTTAATTAAGATTATTAGAATCCCGATTGATATAACCAGAATTTTCTGGTTTGTCCATTTTCAATCAGAAATTTTTCTCAGTATTTGAAAAATCTGTGTCTTCTCATGTAATTGGAACATCTTTCTAATGTCTCACAATTGAATAGACCAAAGCTATTTCGTCAATTTCAATTTTAAAGTAATGTACAAATTCTAATAAACAATATCTCTTTGCAGTGAAGTTCTTACAATTACAACTACGGTTCACTTTTTGCTACGAACTCTTCAAAGCATTTTTTATTTCAGTTAATAAAATTCCTTCTCCCGATTAGTCAATCAAAAGCATTTATATAGCGTCAAGTAGACTGCATTATAGTCAATCAGGATTGTTTCTTGAGAACATAAGCATAACTTTTAAATATTCAATATGTGCTGTTCAGAAACATAAACATTATCGTGAAAAATGAATGAAAAAGCATTACTTTATCTTATATCGTTTTCTTGACATTAAATCTCTGATTTGAAAAATTTCGCTGAAATATTTTGGACGTTTTCAATAAAATTTCAGCATTGCAGAAAAAATTTAAGTTTAATTTTTTTAAGTGATTTTTAATTAAAAAATTAGTTTTTAATAAAATTTAGGGAAATTTCACTTTAATTTTAGCAATTTTTTAATGTTAGTTGAGAAATTCACTTTTAATGAAATTTCAACAAATTTTCATCAATTTCGCTAAAATATTTCAAAAGATGGAATAATTTCATGGAAGTTTTTTCATCAGTGATTGATACTTAATTGATACCTGATTGAGTGTTACAGTTAAAGTGATATTAACAGAATCGCATTTTATTCTTTTCTACTGTGACATAAAATTGACTTATCAGGGATATACGATACGACTCCCCCAGCTCGTTTCCTCGCAAGTTATGCTAATCGCTACGTCAAGTTTCCTTTCACGGAATGCTAGGTGACGGACCGACGCGAGGATGCACGCATTCCGCAGGAAGCACGAAATTTAACGTTGTCGCGAATTCGAGGATGTCACCGAAAGCGGACATAGTCAGACACAGGAATACCGACAAGCAATGTATTTTCGTGACAGGAAGCGGACGTTAAGGACAATAGTGTTACGAATTGATGCGCATATCGATTAACCGATCATTCAACTCAGTGCATTGATTTTGCAATTCACTACATTATCTCATTGCAAACTATATTATTTATAATATAAAACTATGATTTCTAAGAGCAAAATGAATTTTTTTCTATTCATTTAGTATCGAAGATAATATGATGAAGTCATGAAGTTTTTTAAATTTTTTTTTAACGGAGCATTTTCGAAGATCATCTTTGTTTTTTTAATTGAAACTGTACGATTTTTTTTATATAGTTAGATTTCTATAGTTATTCTACATATAAAATATATAACATAAAATTAAAATAGAATTATCGAAAAATCAATATTTATGAGATATTTTATATTTTATTTTGGGACATTTTACATGAAATATAGAATATCTCATAAATTTTTAATTTTTTTGGTAAT